ACCCCTAAGGTAGATGAGACTTCTAATGCCTCAGTATGGATGGGAAGTAAACATTTAATTGAAGTGACTAATAGACCTGTAATATAGAGGAAAAAAAAAATCTATATGACTTAAACTAAAGTCTGTCCTAGTCTCAGTCAATGAGATGGGAGGTCCCTGAGTGGTTTGTGTTGTGTGAGGTGTACAGAGAGTGGATGATAACCCAGTGCAGACTTTTGCTTCGTCTTTTTTTTGCTTTTGGTTTTTTTCCAAAACATAATCCCCTCATCTGTTCATGCTCAGTATCAAACAGGTTTGGCCGTATTAGTCACTGTTCACAATGTAATTAAGAACTGCACACAAGGTATTTTTAGTACATTCCATTCATAAAGTTCCAGCAATGATTTCTCACCGGTTACTTAAGCATTTCTACCACTAAAAAAAGTTTGGAAAAGAAAATACCAGAAAAATAGGTATTGCATACTTGAATGAATGGGCCCATTTAATTGCAAACCAAGGGTTAACATGAGAATTGTTTTAATTGCTTTAGAGAGCTGTTGACATGCAAGATAAGAACACTAGAAAAATATCAGAGCAGTATGAGTCCAGTGATGCTGTGCATCATAATAGTGAATGTGCTTTGCAGCAACTTAGAGATTTTTTTTTTTCTAAATATATATGTAACTACTTCCTGCACTGTGTCCTAAGTGTTCTAAAGACACACAAGTCTAATTTTTGGTAACTGTGCTCCAAAAGTATGTGACATTTTGTTAAAACTTCGAACCATTCTGATTATAACTTCATATGTTTAATGTTGAACTTTAGGAACTTCTCAGCAGATTTCATATTCATGAGATAAAAATACTGATTCTTCTTTTCCGAGGTTTTATATGCAATTGTTCTTTTGTTAGAGATTTATGCAGATCTTGTTTTCACTGCTATTTCTAAAAATCTGTGGCTGTCATAGGCTCATGGTAATCTTTTATAGAAGTTTAACTTATTGGGGGGAGGGAGGGTAAGGGCCTTTCAGCTTTTTGTGAGAAAATGTGGGGATATCCCAGAAAACCATTTGTAGCCAGAGCAAATTACAAATCCTCGTAGAGAAATGGTTTAGAAATTACTCTTGTCTGAAGCAGAAGCACAAGTGCCTTCAAGGGGCAGTATATTATTGGAGTTTCTTCAAGAGACACATGCTCTAGCCCTTCCTGTATCTTGTGATCAAGATTTAGGTTGAGGCCTAAGGAAAGTCCCAATAAATTATATTACTGGGATTGTATTGGTCAGACAAAAAGTAAAGTATTTTTCATCATGTTTTATCTGAAAAAACAGGCAAAATATAGTCAAATAGTCAAAGTAGTCATTTCCTTCTGCACTTTCAACCCAGCAAAACAAGTTCATTGCTTAGACAAAACCATGGTGTTCAGAATTATGCTAGGATGTCTTTTCCCATCTTTTGAGAATCAGGTTCAGTTTTTTTATCCCTGTTTCTGTGTATGCTTAGTTTGACACAATTGTGCTTTAACTGCACTTTTTCAGTGCTGTTTGTGAATTAAGTAGTTAAACAGAACTGTAACTTTTATTGGTAAATTGTCCTGACTTGTATTTATTAATAGCAAGGGTCTCTGTCTGTTCCAATAGGCACTGTTTGGGTTATGTTTTGTTTCCTGATTGTCTTCCTGTCCTATTGTATACATTGGAGTTGCTCACAGTAATTTTTTGTTTGAAATCAGCCCGAGGTTGTAATTTTCCTTCTGTTTTTTTCTTTCTAACCATCCCGAAACACAGTAACAGGAAAGATTAATGAAAGAGTCTGCAATGCCAGAAGGGTAAATGATGTTTCACAGTTGTATAGAATAAAAGGCTTTAGTTAAAATATTTTCAAGTTGTTTTGTGTATTAGATAAACTGTGCAATTTTGGAGCTTGAATTTGACAAAGGACTTCAGAGTGCTTTGAAGCCTCAAGTAATGCAATGGCAGAAGAAATGGCAGCAGGCAGTGCTGCTTTTGTACCATGGAAGTATTTTGTGCTAACAAGTGACTCACACCAGTTGCTGCTGAGCTGTTGGCATGTGGAAAGGTTGTAAGAGGCACATGGGAAACCAGGCTGGGTTTCCTCATGTTGAAAAATGCCAGGACAGAATGCTCAGTTTTTACTGCCCAGCTCTGGCTTAGATGGAGTATGAAGTGAGAGAAGGGGCTTTTTGCTACTGCCTTTTAAATTCTGTCACCTTTTCTGGGGTTGTGCTGTCTCTGAGTCCTGAAGGCAGGAGGAGGGGAGAGCATTGAGTTAGTATTGAGAGTCACAACTCCTGGGAACATTGGCAATCTGAAACTCTGCTCACAGAATCATAAAAAAAGGCTGAAGATTTGCAGAAGTTACTTAATTTCCAAGTTTATAATGGGAAGGAGGTGTAAATCTAGTGTTTAGTAGTGCAGACTGTCTCCCAGAAAAGCATTTAAACAGTGTATGACAGGTATCTTTTTATTCTCTTTAGGTGGGGTGGGGCTGAGAACAGGAGAGCTTGGCTCAGAATTTGTAGTTGAAGTGCAAGTATCATTTTAGGATGAGAAGAACTGCTTAAAGGAGTTACCAGTAACTTTAAGAAACACTGAAAATATTCAAAATAAGCTCTAGGCAGAAAGATTGTGGACTCCCCTTCCCTGGAAGTATTCAAGGCCAGACTGGGTGGGAATCTTAAGCATCCTCTTCTAGTGGAAGGTGTTCCTGCCCAGGGCAAGGGCTTGGAAGTGGATGAGCTTTATTATAGAATCATAATTGGTTTTTATTGGAGGGGATCTTAGTGTAGTTCTACCCCTTGGTCTTTGGATTTATTAGTTGGATTATCCAAATATTCCCCTGGAGAGGGGCAGCCAGGGGTGGGCAGGGCAGTTACTGGTATAGAAACATTACACCAAGGTATTATTTTTCCTTTCACAGAGGTCCTGTTTGATTCAAACTTTATCCCTAGAAATTTATTGAACTTGTCATTTAGAATCAATCTGTTTGCTCATGATCTTACACTGTGGATGTGATGCTGGCTCCTGAACAGAGCCAGGTAGAGTCACCTCCCAGCTGGATAACAGAGCTGGAGGGAACACACACACACTTAACAAGAAAGTGGTTGTTTGAAATAGCTCCCTGTACTACAGTGGAGGCTTTTCTGTACAGAGCTGTGCAAACACCATGCAAAGCAGAGGTGCTGACTAGAGCCTGAGTGGGACATGTCTGATCTCTCTGAGGATATTGTGACACTATTCTGAATGTCTTTCAGGAGACTCTGAATGCTTAATTACATACTGTAGGTTAGAAATGTAACTTTGAGCAAACAGCTGAAATTCTGCTACAGCAGAAGCAAAGCCAGTTGGTGTTTGCCTAAGGCAAAAGCCAAGAAGGAGGTTGTGTGGGCAGTGCCCAGGAAATGGAACATACTAACACAGTCTAATCAATGCAATTAGTAACCTGTAGGTGCTTTCTCTTAAGAGCCTGTTATTTTGTAACTGCTTGGAGGTGAAAATACTTGCCCAGTTTTGGAGGAAGATGGAGAATGCATGTGGAAGTACACAAGCCCACCAGTACATGTGAGTGGTGTGATCTCTGCTCAGCATTGCAAAGATCCCTTTTCCTGCAGCATTTCTGAGTTGTAGCTCAGAGAAGCTCAGCCAAGTGTGGCTGAGCAGCCTCTGCACAGAGCCTAGAGCAGTACAGCAGGAGGTTCAGTATTGTCAGGCCTGCTGTGAAAGTTTAAGAGGGAAAATGAAATCAACTGCCTGAATTTGGTATTGTAATAGTTCTACCAGTAGGTGTTCAACTTAAAGACAATAAATACATCCATTCACTCATTCAAGTTCAGCCAGAATTAGTTCAGCATCCATATTGCTGTAATAATGAATTTGCATGTTTATCTCTAGGATGGCTACTTCCTTATGATCTTGGGGGTTTACAGTTGTTCCTACTACAGGGTTATGCTGTATGGAAAGTTCCCATGGATCAAGTTAGCCTCAGCTGGGGCAGGGCTTGGCCAGCTTTCTGTGGCCTTTGTTGGGCAGAGGTTTGAGTCCCTGTGGCTTGAAGGGCTCCTCCTGGCTCAGCCCCCATCAACCCTGGAAGCTGTGCATTGGCTGGAGCACGGCTCAGTGGAGATGGGCTTTGCCTAATCCTCACTCTAATACTTGAGCTGCTGGGAGCCTCTGTGGATTTAACGTCTGCCAGACCTGTGTCCTCAGGCTCAGCTGTTACTTGTAGGGAGAAGCTCAGGTCAGGAAGCTCATCTTGTTGAGGTTACATCCAGCTCCTGCTTACCTGGAAACATGTTTGGGACAGCAGCAGGCTTGTGTGGCTGTTTGGTATCGGCTCTGAATCCAGCAACCCTCAGGTGCTTCTCATTCTTTTTATTTTGAAACTAAACTTCCAATCACTTCTCTCACTTTGTGCTCACAAACAGGAGTACTCTCTGCTTTTGGGCTGCAGCTGTGAGGGAGTATCCAAGTTGGTCAGAGAAGAGAAATTTGATGAGGAGATCCAACTCTTCGCCTCATTTAGCATTTGAATGATCAGGTTTCAGGTTTGGAGAACACAACATTCTCCTGCTCTAGATGATTTACTTGGTTTTCCAAACCCCTTTTCCAGATCCAGTTAACATAACACACAGAGCCTGGACACAGACTGAAATAAGTTTAAGCCATTTATTACACACAGAGCCTGGACACAGACTGAAATAAGTTTAAGCCATTTATTATGGTGACATTTGAAATCTAGCCTGAGTTTTGACATTCCCTGCTCTTAGATTTCTAAAAGGTGTTTATGGTAGAGTCGTTTAAGTGAGCTATTACCCTCTCATGGTCATTTCTGATAAAGGTAAAGGACTAGAAACAGTCCTAAATAAACATGAATAAAACACCACTTAGGTGTCTTCAGGCATCAGGCTCCAAGATTAAACAAACCTAGGAATAATTTAAACATGAATAAAACACCACTTAGGTGTCTTCAGGCATCAGGCTCCAAGATTAAACAAACCTAGGAATAATTTAAATTACATTTATTTTTAGTGTTTGGCTGTTTGCCCTTGTAACAGTCAGCTGGGGGAACAAAATAAGAAATTTACTTTAGCAACACAGGAAATAAAATTGGCTTACAATTAACAGACCCTTTAGCAGACTAGAATCCACTGTCAATTCTACTGCCTTGAATACATTCTTTAAAGCAACAGGTACTTTGACAGTCCTGTTCAGAACTACTGTACTTGCAGTATTTCAGATGAACAACAGATGAAGGACAGATTTTTTTTTGTTGGGGTGGACTCATCTGAAGCTCTGTTGTGCTGTGACTTTGCTTGCACCCTTTGGCTGAATCTGAGCTGTCACAGACAAACCTGTGGGATTCTGAGTCCGCCCCTGCATCAGTACCAGATTTCAGCCCAGTCAGCTGTAACTGTCTGACCTGCACAGTGCAGAAACACAGCAGGAGCCAGAGCACAGGAAATCAGGCAATATTGTGCTAAATAAGTGTACTTTAGTTTTTATAGCCTAAACACATGCCAGCCTTGTACCCCATTCTCTTAATTTACAAAGGATTTTCACTGCAGTAGCTATATTATTGCCTGTCAGCAGTTTTGAAATTCCATGATAAATCACTGCCCTGAGGATTATAAAACCATCCATGTCTTCCATTGTTTATGCCATGTTTGCCATTACATTCAGAAGTGATTTAGAGACAAATGCAAACAAAGCTACAAAAACAAATTGCAGGTGCTGCACAACAGCCCATGTCTTAAACTTACAATAATTTGTATAAAAATAGTAATGAGTGAATAGGAGCAAAGGAAAGCTATCTCTCAGTCACTAGAGAAGCCAAGACATTCACCCTTCCCCAAAAAGACTCATCACCCCCTACTTGAAAATCATCTTCAATTTGTTTCAAGTAACCACCATCACTCCCTCCCCCTTCATTGTTTATTTAACTGCACAGCCATCACCTGGTCCATTCAAGAGCAGAAGTGAATGGCTTTGTCGCATTTGGGGCTGCAATGTTAAAGCCCATTGTATTTCCTTCCAGCTCAAGCAGGTATACAAAAGGTACATGAATGACTGTTGCAGAGAAGGGAATGAAACCAAGAAAAATAACAGTCTAGTAAGTGAAAGCATGTTATAGTGTAAGAAATGCCTTGCAAGTCACAAGAACAGTCTAACCAAGGTGTACCATTAGAAAAGCTTTCTAACAAAACTATAAATATTTTTATAATGCCATCAAACATCGGGATAAAATCGTCACTGTCACTGTTCAGGCACAATGCCTTTATAAGTACATTCAGGAGCACTTGTAGGCAAATGTGAATTCCAGAACTTGACATTCTGCCAGTGTCCAACTTGTTTGTGCATTAATTTCTCTACTGATTGGGTGATTTTGGACAGCATTCAAATTTTGAACATAGATCAATCCATTAAACAGTGATTGGAGAAGACAACAGGATATGTACTTCATGTGATTTCTTTTCTAGTATTGTCTACACTAACAAAATATAGCAACTGTAATTCTTTAAAGATAAGAAAAATATTCCAAGCTGTAGCACTGAAGCATTCAGCAGTCTGTAAAGAGCAGCAGGGTCCACTCACTCAGGATATTGTGCAGCTGCTTCTCCTTTCTGCTCACTTGCTGCTTCGTGCTCTGGTGTCTCTGGAGCAGTGGTTAATGAGCTCTCAGTGCTGTTCACAAGCAGCTTGGATTCCTGGTTATCAGCATCAGTTCCTAGTGTTGTTTTTGAAGAAATGTCATGAGGAAGATCAAGAGAAGGTAAAGATGGAATTGAAGGCAGGAGGTCATCCAGTGTGGGCTGCTTGCCTGATCCTTCAGGATCCAGGGTTAAACCTTCAGGGTCCAAAGTTGAGGCATTTTCTGGAAAACAGAGAGCTTGTAAAAAAACAAAACATACCAGGCTAACAGACAGTGCCTCAGCATTTTCATTTAAAGAAAGAGACCCATTTCTGTAAACTTAAGGAAAAGTGCATTAGGTTTTTCTATTTCTAAACCTGATTTCTGCTACTTTTTCCATCCCATCTTTGCCAGTCTTGCTGATCTTTATTAAAATTTGCCTATTTCAAAAACTGTGATGATGTTAAGTGAACATGAGTTGGTGCCATTCCAGAAATTAGATCTAAAGGAAATCTTGAGTGCACTTACCAAGATAAGCAGAGGCTTCACTATTTGGCATTAGTGTTTCAGGGCCTACAGAAGCCCCTGCTGCTGGCACATTGAAGGAGGCAGATGGGGACATGCTGGACCTGTCTGTTAAGCTTGTGAACTCAGAAACTGAAATTCCAGACATATCTAGAAAGCCTGAAGGAGAAAGCAAATATTAGTTGCAACACAAAATACTAGATTCAAAAGGACATGTTCTATCCAGACTGAAGTCAGTGAAGTCCCCTTACCACTAAATACAAATTAATGTAACTTACATGGTAACCAAATTCTACAGCTCTAAAATCAAGGGAAGTCAAAAAGCTCAAAGAGAACCACCACCAGTGCTCACAATTCTGAATTTAAACCTCTAGCTTGTTTAAGACCATATTAGCTTATTTAGAACTAATATGTACTATAATGTACTCAAAAGAATTGGTGAAAAAAGGCACCCAAAAGCCATACCTGGATCCATAACTCTCTGGAGAGGGGGAGGAGGAGAAAGGGAACTTTCTGGTGAGTAACCACTCATTTCTTGCTCTATGGAATGATCCAAGTTCATAACTGTTTCAGAGATGTCATTCTGAGAGGTAGGTGCCAACAATGGAGTCTGGAATAAGACAGCAAGAAATAAAAACACTGTTTTATATCAGAAGCTTCACCTGTAGCCAAGCCTCCCATGAAAGGACATGTTCCAGTTCAGCCTTTTAAAGCCTGTTCTCAGAACTTCATTTTTGGGGGTGTGTCTTTCTCCTAGAGAAGTAGATGTTCTAACATAAGCCTCATTGACTGGCACAGCTGTAGGATGCAAGACTTTAAAACAAGGAGGAAATACCTGGCAGGAATTAGTATCAGCCAACATTGGTGATCTGGCACCTGCTCAGCAACATCAGCTCTTCCTTTCCCTTCAGCCAACTCCATTTCATTCAAGCAAGATTGAATGCTGTACTCAAACATTCTGTATTACCACTGTCTCAACCAGCAGAAAATTTTGAAACTCCAGAGAACATGGCAGAGATTGGAATTTATCTCTTTCCTACCTCTGTGTAACCATTAGTGGATGGCACAGGAGTTCCAGCTTCTGGTGAGGGTGAAGGTGGTTTGCTTTCTGGCTTTTTCTTTGATGTCACGGACTGTGTTGGGATTCTGTGCAAATAGCCATATCCAATACCACATCCTAAACTGTACAAGAGGAAAAAATCAAGACAAAAGCTGCTCTTAACAAAGCTAATATTTTAAATTTTGACTCTTTTAAACAAGAAGAGTTTATAGCAGGAAATAGCTACCTGCAAGAATTTCCATTTAAGAGTACTTAAGGAAGACTTTGCAATGAACTTTGAGACATGCGCAGCTTAGCTTCCAGTGCATTATTTTATATCTTTACCAAGTATTTCATCTGAGCTGAGGTGGGTTTTGTTCTTGCTTTAGCTGAATGTTTTGACTATGAGAATGCAGATAGTCTGCTAACTGGGAACTTAAGACACAAGCTTTGCCATTTGATTCAACTTGAACAGGATTAGATTCTGAATGGGTCAAATTCCTAGTTCTAGGCTGATTTTCGTTTAATTAAAGATTAAGAGTTTTGGGTGACAAGTGTGAGGAAACAAGGCTTAACTTGGAAACACTAATAACTGATAGTAGTGATACTCCTAATAGGAGCTCATCCTACAGCAAGTGTAAAACCTGTCAGCAAGAGAGATCAGTACCTTCCTTCTCCACCCCAAGCTCCATTGGGAGTCACAACTACCTCTCGGATGGAATCTGCTTCAGTGTTATAAACCATCAGCTTCAGTGGCTTCCCCTCATGGGATTCAATCAGGGAAAAGAAATCCTCTGACTATGGAAAAAACAGGAAGAAAGTAGTAAATAAACCCAAATGTTAAAGTCAACATTTTACACAGTTATTTACTCAATGTCAGACATTAAATACCTAGAGACAGAAAAATCACCAATGTAGTTTGATCTTTAGTGGCAGCTTATTTTTATTGTCAGACCAAAAAGAAAGATGTTTACCTTAACCATAAAGTTTCTGTCATAAACATCAGCCTTCCACAATCCCCTCCACCACCCCCATATGTTTGATCAGATTTATACAAAACCCAAACCCTACAACAAACACTTGGCAGGCACAAAGACAATCACTCTGTGCTGGAAGGAACGTGCACCCACCTCCTGAAGAATCTGATCAGATCCAACAACGTAGTCAGTGTATGGCTGGAGACCAGCCAGAGCCGCAGGAGAAGAAGGCTCAACGTCCTGTGAAAGAGTGACACAAGTCATCTGCACCCACAGCAGGATAAAATACCGTGATCAAAAAGAAGAGCTAACTTCCAGAGCAAGGAAGGAAAGAGCATTTTGTGAATGGAATAAAAAAGAAGCTCTTGGAATAGTCTACATCTATGTGTGACATCCTGTAAAAGATGCTAAGTAAGAAAGATGTAAAACATGTTAAGTAAGAAAATTTTACCAATTTAAAATTACATCCTCTGAACATGTTGAGAAATTGCATTTACTTAAACAACCAGAAACATAAACATTCTTTCCTATTCAGTTCTACTCTTTCAGCTCTTACTCTTAATTTTAAAATAAATTTGTGGTGCTATTTGTAAGATTAATATTACTTTAATGAAGTTTAGCCAAGACAGAGACAATCAGGCCAGAATCTTTTTTGCTTTTGCCATTGATTCTTCAACATAAAATGAAAAAACCCTTCCCACCTATCCTGTTTGGTCCAGTTGGGATGGAGTTACTTTTATCACTGTCACTGGGAACCCTGACAGCCACCCACTTCTTGTCCCTACTCAAATAGCTCAGACAAACCTTCAGGACTGTGTTCCCTTCCTCTGTGTGACTGCGTTGCTGTACTTTACATTACTGCTAAACATCACACTGTAAAACAAGGTTACACAACCAATAATGAGCCAGCCAAGGATTCCTCCTCACCAGAACGTGCCACACGTGTTCATTGGCTCCCTGGAAGCTGCAGAACCTCACGCTGGCTCCAAGGAGGCCTTGTCCTCCCCACATGTTACTGGGGATCACCTCCACCTCTCGGATTTTCATTGTTTTGATGTTATACACCTCCAGCTTCACTGCTTTCTCAGCATTTGCCTTCAGCAGGTCTTTCAGCATATTGTTTTCCTTGTTCTGCAGAGCAGAGATACAGGATTAACGTTATTTCCAGTTGCACCTGTAACATCTGTGGCAGAATTTGAATACAAAGAACCAAAAGTATGAAAGTTTAGGCTCTGTGGTTCACAAACAATCCCAGCAATTTCCAATTCAATTTTCTTTAACTATAAAGCAGTCAGTACTGTCAACACACATCCCTTTACATAAATACTTCCTGTTATTCCATTTCATCTCTGGCATTTCTCTCCTTCACAACTGCTATTAAATAATACCAGCAGTATCAGATGTCGACTGTGTTTAACAATGAGCAGCAACATTTCACTTCATGTCTCTGATTCTCATCCCTCTTCAACAGCCCTTCAAAGTCACTGCAAAATGACTGTGAAAGAATATCTTCATTTCTGTCATGTTAGAAGATTAAATGATCTTCCCCCCAAATCTGCACTTATAATGATCACTTCTAAAAAAGACATCTCATAAAAACAAGACAAAACTTAATGAATTCAGCTTGTGTGTGGTTAGGGTGGAGCATACAAGGTAAAGCTCTGAGCCTTAACAAAACCCCAATCAAAACTCAAAAAAACCCCACCAGACCAAAACTCAGCTCTTCTCTCATAACACACAGGAACTGTGTTCTTTGTCTTGAAAGTACAAGTAGACAGGCTATGATTCTTTTCCGTGTTTTATCAAATGTTGAAACTATTTTGTTTAAACAAATACTGAGCTCTGACTATTGACTCACTAGTTCAGTATTCACCTTGTGGTACAAAATATGTACAAATGAGCAATAACATAAACATTGTGGTACAAAATATGTACAAATGAGCAATAACATAAACATTGTGTTAACCTGTTAAGAAGTTAAGGTGAGTAAAGGCATAAACAAAATCTTTCCTTCAAACTTGGATCCAGCCAAAGTGACTTTGAACACCTTCAAGTTTTACTTTACTTTTAATGTCCAATGTGAAAAGTTTCTCTGCTTGTGCGAGTTACGGCTTTTACCTTTGATCATCGTTACAGCACCCACAGTTCATGGAGGGTGGAAAAAAACATTGAAATTGTTTGAGACTTACAAGCCTCGTGTGTCCTATGGCAATGATGAAATCAAAGAAAGGTTCCAGTCCTCCTTGTTGGGCTGGGGAATTCTCTTGAACCTGCAGAACATACATTTTATCGTTATTCTACAGTGATCCCCAGTTACATAAGTGAAAGTGTTAATCTTTACACTTGATTCAATATTTACTTTTGAGCTGAGCCAGAGATAAGGTACCAAATGACTGCCCTCAATCTTACTTTTATAAAACTGTGAACAGATATCCAAATGAAGCTGTAAAAGCAGGTTTTGAACCCCATATAAGACACAAATGTTTGTGATTCAGAGTTCACAGCTTGGAATTATTAAATGCTGAATACTTTGGAGAAAGGTTTGTTTTTCAACATGCTGCTGCAGGATTTTCTTCCTTGGTTCTAACAACCTGAGCACGGTGAGAGTCCCCACTTGCATCAGAGCCATTTTTCCATGAACACAAGTGACAGCTGGCTTCCCACATTTCCAGCCCATTGGAACAGGAATATTTACACAAGCACACTACAAGCACATGCCTGCCCACAAGTTCTGGTGAAGAAAGCTGCCACCACTTAGAAAAGATTCCTAAGAAATAAGAGTTGGGACATTTCAATTTCATTAGAACCGAAGTTGTCATAGAAGAGATGCCATCAATAGCGAGAATACTCATAAAACACCTTCATTCCAGAAATCCCACCAAAAGTTTACAGATTACATTGAAGTCCACCCACTTCAAGGTATACAGAGAAAGCAAGGTGGTGTTATGGAATCACTGCAAACCTACTGACAATTTGCTCTTGACTTCACTTTTTGTTACCTCAGCAGCCCTTAACCTAAGATGTACTTGACTCCTGAGGGCCACCTCACAATTTAAGTATAAAATTACAACCCAGACATCATCTAAACTGGGAAGTTCATTGCTAGGAAAGTTAAAACTCCTACATCTTGTATTTGGTCTGGTGTTACCAAGATGCTAGATAGATATTTTTACCTTTTTTTAAACAGATAAAGTTGTACTGGTATTGTGGCTTTTGCTGGCAGAACTGTCTATAAAAGTTATAAAATATATTTAATAGCATAGTTACTTCAATAAAAGCTTCCAAAGCAAAAATAAGACTAAAAATCATGCTTTATTTTCAAAGTCAAAACTGAGCACTGTAACCACAGCTGGAGTAGAAGTAGTAACTTTGATCACAACCCTGAACTGCATCAAAAGCAAACAGGCAGCTTTATACTGCTGAGAAACACTTTATACTGCAGCTTTATGCTGAGAAACACAGAATGCAGATGAAGTGGAAACAGCACGTGGCAGCAACGCTCCCATTCTTATTCCAGGGAAGGAAAATACCCACCGAAAGAAACAATAACTCATGCAAGCATCTGCTCATCCTTCCAGATATGCATTTACACCACTGTACGTGCAGACAATCTGCTAAAGAGGAGTTACAACAAACTTGCATCTGGGAGAGGCAGCCACGGAGGAAAGCACCGCTGGAGCGGGAATTAACCCCCTAACATGATGCTGTGAAGATCCACAGAGAAGAGAGCAGGGAAAGAAGGAGGGAAGTAGGGGAATAAGGAGAGAGAACAGGGAGAGATAGAGGGGAGCAGAAAGAGAAGGGGAAAGGGGAGGGGAGCAGGGGGAACAGGAGGGCAACAGGGAGGGAAGAAGCGCTGTTCTACTCTTGAACAACTTCGAGAGCAGCCCCCCAGGCTCCCCCAGGCTGTTCGGCAGCCAAGTCCCGCCAGGTCGCGGCCCCGAGCCGCCGGGAC